GAGTTTCTTCAAAATTTTAAAATTTATTCCTACACTATGAAAGGTGTAGAATATAATGGTAAAGTCTATTTTCCATAAAAATGGCTTTGATTTCTTTTTCTGCTCACTCATTTTTACAATTAAATGTCACTGGCTTGTTGTTCACTATTTTTTGACATTGTAAAATTGTTTCCTACACTTTGACAAGTGTAGAATTCAATGGCAATATTTATTTTGCATAAAAATGATTTTTATGCATTGTAATTTTTGTTCCCACTCATTTTTTCAATTAATTGTTAGTGGCTTGTTTTTCATTATTGTTTGACATTGTCAATTTGTTTCCTACACTTTGAAAGGTTTAGAATTTAATGGTAAAATTTATTTTTCATAAAAATGATTCCTTTGCATTTTAATTTTTGCTCCCACTCATTTTATTGATGCAAGCACAGTGGAAAGCTCCTGGTGGTTATTCAACCTTCCAAACTTGAATTTATCAATGGGAAAAGGTAAAAAATGCTATAATATTCTAGTGAGGCCAAATTTGAAATTTAAAAAAGAGTTTGGTCATAAACGAGTGTAGTTTGGATTTTAAAATGAGAAGAGGGACAATAGCAGGAAACCAGAGGAAGGTATGGAGAACAGTAATGAAAAAAGTTAATCAACTTCAACAGGAGCCTTCTTGAAGCGCAAAGATCTTCTGAAAGGTGGGTACAAGACGTCTTGACCCAGTTCAACGTGAGCTTGAATGTAATCCTCCCAACCCAGCGCTTCATCCCTGACATAGTGACTCCAAAATGTATCAATCCTGGGGCATGGCCATATTTCAGCCTTGAAAGTGAACGAGATGAAATGAGAATAGTCAGGTAAAAGGATCAGACCAATGGGAGGGTTGTTTCTTGGAGTATGAGAAAGAGGAAGATAAGTTGCAGGCATATTTTCCAATAATGAAATAACCGGTCTTGTACATATCAGCTATTAAATATCCATGCGCTGTGGTATGTCCATACCTTTCCATGTATCCTCATTTTTCACATCATTTTACATATATTCTTCCCAGTATTATTCCATATTCAGATTCTACACATTATTTCACCCCTAGTCACCTCTTACAGCTTTTCAGTAGCTCTTATAGTTCTCTAGTTATCATCTCTTCAGTATATTCATAGTCACAGAACAGTACATTACTTTGTACATACAGTACATATACATTACACATTATCTAGTTACAGTATCTATGTAGCATCACTCTTTCATCATAGTACATCATCTTATCTGCACTACATCATATACATATTTCTCTTTGCACAGCTTTGACTTTCCATCTATGATTAGCATTTGTATACACAGAACATCTATCTCTAGGTTACATCATTTCTCATCCCTCATTACTGTTTAAGATTTACATTACCCATAGTCAGGATTTCCCCAGCCATGGTGCTTTGCTGTTGTATGTACATGTTGTACACATATATACTCTTTCTTCCTCCTTATGTATTTTTCCCTTATGTTATTTCCATGCATTCTTTATGTTAGTCTATCCATAGTTTTAGTACTAGAAATTATCATCACCCTTATATCTTTACCAGATATCATTGCCAGTTATATTTGCCAGTTATACATCCCCCCCTTGCCAGTTATAAATCCTCATTTGCCAGATTATTCCCCTTTGCCAGTGTCATTCCTCATTGCCAGTGTTTGTCAGCGCCGGTCTCTAGAGTGACTAGGCGTTGATGGGGTGGTAAGGGTCTTACTATAACTTTCTTGTGAAAGCCAGTAGAAATAGAACCTCACCTCGACGCTAGTAAGCGGAGGGGTTAAGCACCCTTAGTAAGGGGATGTACGCGGTATGAGCGTCGCGTCGCCGGGCTTAGAGCTAAGTAGTCTCTCTTCTAGGCTACTGTAGTGACTTTACAGTAGTCTAGGAAGGTTGGTACGGAATAGAAGATGGGGGAAGGTTTTTAGAAGGTTTTAATAGTAGATTATAAACCCCACTCACAGTTTGTATTGTAAGGTAGACGGGTTTGTATGGTAATAACTGGGGGGAGGATTCTTGGGAAGAAGACCTCCCCTTAAGTATTACATAGGCAGGGGTCAACCTGCCTGTGAGACCGGTGAGGCCTGCAGAGGATCATTTATGTATTTAACTCATAAATGATCAAAACATGTATTTAAATTAAAATTTAAACCAAAAGTGGAGGAATGATGTCATTCAAGCTCAAAAGAGAAAGAATGATGTCATCTCTCTAATTACAGTGTATAGAGAGATGATTAAGATTTCAGACTGTAAGTATATAAAATATGAATATTAATACAGAGGTGAATACTTAAGTAATTCCGTGGAATTACTTAAAGCATAAAAGTATAAAAATAAAATAATAATAAAAATATAAGATTACATAATTGGGATTTGAACCCAAGTGTAATGGTGAGGCAAAGTCATAACACAGTCCTTAACCAATACACTACAGTACATGTGCTAGTTGGCTAAGTACAGGTTGTAGACACATGGGCTACAGCCTCAGTGTCTGACAGTGTTACACCCTTGCCAGTATTATCCCATCACACCTCTTTGCTCCTCCTCCTCACACCTCAGTAGGTACTACATACACAAGCTCATCAGTAATAGTAGTCTAAGATAAAGTAGAAATCAGCCACACTGTCAGCTTGCTACTATGGCAGAGACAACCTGTCATAGCAAATAAAATAATAAATTACATAAAAAATCTAAGTATAAAGTAAAAATATTACATAAGTAAAAGAAACAAATATTACTTATGTAAATAAGGTAAAAAATACATAAAAATAAATGAATAACTTAAAAAGTATAAACAAAACCTTAAATATTATTGCGGATTCTGAATCAGCATACAATTTAACCTAGGGTACCTCAGCCAAAGGTACCCCAAATTCTAACTCCTTCACCCTGTAATACATGCATGAATAATTAACAGGTACCCCCAGATCACGGGTACTGTGACTCTTGTGCATAATGCATAATGCATATACTCCAAATCCAGTCTCAGAATTGGAGTATTGTGCACGGTTTAGAAGATAGAGCAGTGTAGAGTTCTGTCTCCAAGCCCACGCGCCACGTAGTCATGCAGCGCACCAGTATCCTAGGATTGGGCCACAAAAGCCCCAGAAACCCCATTACACGTGACAACAAAGCCCCCACACGTGTAGTAAGAATGTAAATAAGCTAGAATATCCATGAAAATACTACAGTAACCATATTCCAATGGGTAACACGTGTAGCAAGCCTCAGAAGACACCTCTGGAACATTCTGTGGCCCATTTCTAAGGAAACTACTCCACGTAACAGAGTAGCCCCTATCTACAGGTTCCCATGGGACATTCTTGGCTGTAATAATTTCGTGCATGACCCCTTGGAGCTTCTAGAATATTATCCCCAAGGTTCCAGCCCTGGTTACATCACTATGTGGGCCAAAAAGGGCCCAAAAGCGCCCCCAAGTCCTTCTAAGCTCCCCTGAGCAACCCCTGAGGCCTTCCACAGGTATTTAAAGGGCCTTCTGACCGCCCAAATAATGAGCCCCCAGCTTTACAATACTAGATAGAAACATACTTACCATTTACAAGTCCCCTACACTTGTAATTAGCCTAGTTATTACTATTTTTGCTGTTATTAAAGCCTCAAGAACCCTCAAGAAACTCCCCAGTGATCACCCAGCACCCAAAATCAACCTTTCTGAGCGCTCCCAACTGTCCAGTTTCAACTTTGAAGATCCTCAAGACCCCATAGGATTATTACTAGTAAGTAATAACCCTTTTCTTGAGATTTTTCCCTTAAATTCTTCCTGGGATTTAAACCACACCTGTTCACAGGCCCCAGTGTTCCAGGTATCTAAATCCTCTGCTTTTGCACGATACCTTAGAGGGATTAAACCACCCCTGATTCATCAGGCCCCTCTGGTTTTATTTATATTAATTTTATTAATATAAATTGGCCATTTTTCCTACTAAAATTACGCCATAAATTCCTTATTGTATTGGAATTTATTCTTTTAGAATTAAAACCAAAAACCTTTAAGCTTTTTGCTTGCTTTTGCACCACGTGTAGCTAGAAGATTATACATCTTGGCATCACGTAGGCTGACAATTGGGGGTCTGGCCGGGAAAATTTTATTAAAAATACCCTTTTTAATAAAATAAGCCACCTGGAATTTATTCCTAATTCTTTTTCACAAAATCAATCAAACCCATAAAAAAATCATTATCATTTTTTCACGGTCATCTTTTCCTTTACAAAAATAAATATATACACTAAATTTTTTACCAAAAAAAAAGAAAAAAAAAAATATCTCGAACTCATTTCCTCTCTTACACCCAAAATAAAAAATTAATACCAACATCCTTTATTTTCTCCTCCACGTCAGTGAATCTACAAGAGAACGCCGAATTGATCCAGCGTTATCTTGTTATTCTTAGGTTGCGCAAGGAAGAAGCCGAAAAAAATTATTGTCCTACCCCCTGGGAAAAGTTATCGGACGAAGAAAAACTTCTTCTCGCCACTTATCACGCACACGTACACCAGGAAGAAGACCTTGAAGAACAGCTTCGGTTCCGAAATTTCCTTAGAGAAATAAGAGCTAAAAATCTAAAGCTCCGACAACTTAGATACCAAGAAAAGAGTTGGTTCACTTCTTTCCTACCTTCTTACTTTACTAAAAAATACTCGGGCTAAATACATCTCGTCTCATCAATCATCTCTTCCTAGTGTCCACGTTCGAGACAGGTGTTATTAGGCGAGAAAGAGCGAGCCCTACCCCTTCAGTCGATACGGATAACGGTTCTGTTAGCCAAACATCTGAAAGTTAGTTTCCAGTCTACTTCTGAAACTTCTAAAAGAGAAAAAGAAAAAAAGAATCTATTAACTGAATCGACGTAATTGGTCATGACTAAATCTACCAGATCCAATCACCCAGAGCTACGAGGGCCACTCCCAGCTCCAACAAGACCTCGCAGCAGCAAAGGAATTGCAGTCCAGAGTCGAGAAATTGAAGATGACCACTATAGTCCGCAAAGACACGATCACAAAGAATACAAGCAAGGAGGTTCCAAGCCAAAGCGACCCGCCTCCAAATGCGGAGAAGGATACGTCTATGGAAATAGACGAGATAGAATCCGAATGCTCGGAAGCTACCCCGAAACGCCCTACTACTCCGGAGATCAGAGTCCTATCGAAAGAAGATCAGATCAGACTCCGGGTCAAAGAGCACGTATCGCTCTGGAAACAATGTCAAGTAGCTACTCAAGAAGGTCCAACCACAAAGCTACGAGCCTTACTGACCACCGCTCAGGAGAGTCAGAAAGCTCTTCAGAAACTCATAGACAACGAGGAAATCGAAGGCTACGTGAAGGGGTGGAACCCTTGGGACGAGAAGAAGATACATTTCCCGTCCCCGCCGAAGAAGAGCTTAGTGAAATTCAAAAGAAACGAGTCGGGCAAAAAGCAAAGCTCGACGTCGACCAATTTCTCCGATCCCGTCAAGTGGAAAAGAGTTACCGATCTTCTTCAAATAGCCAACGGCCTATATCAGAATCTCCAATAGATTCTAAAGTTTTGTTAGCAATCCTTAGTTCTCTAGAAACGCTTAACGGTAACATTTCCGCTTTAGATTCAAATAGTGAAAACAACTTTGCCATTATTGTAAATAGTCTAGAATGTTCGAAAAATAAAATGAAAGAATCTGTAGAAGGTGTCTGCGTTAAGATCTTACAACAGCTTAACAGACCACTACCTATTGAGATGACCCCAAAAAATAGCGAGCAATTGACTGTCATCCAGAAGGATGTAGAGTATCTCCGCGATACTTCAAAAGATTGTAAGGAAACTATTAATGAAATAGTACAGTTCGCCAGAAATTCAGCGGCGCAAGGTAACGCCCAAGCTGATTATATTCTTTCTTGCATCAGGCAAGACGCTATTGTGGAGAATGCTAAGTTTGAGAGAAAAACCACAGAGCTAAAAAATCTAGTGATGCAGAAAAGTGCCGACACAGATAGTAAAATAGATCTCTTACGCACTACTATACAAGATCAGTTCAATACGATCAAAGAAGAGCTATATCTTTTAAGAAACTGCTCAGCCGAATCCAGTCTTAAAGGAGGAGGCGACAGGCAAAGCACTGCTGAGAATAAAAAAGGAGACTGTATTCCTTCTCTACGCCATGGGAGCAGAGATTCGCCTCCCCATCTTATGAACAACCATGTCAATGATATCTCCGCCAAGTTAGAAGAACCAAAGCATAATAATCCCTTTATGCAATCAAGCTCTCCTCATGTCAAAAGCTGTTCTCCTCATCCCATTACTTCTGACTCTGGGAGGCAAAGAAAATCAGATGAGGAAGCAGATTTTATAAGAAATTCCACACCTTATACTGCGGCTGAATTAGCCAATCTACACAAATACATGCCTCCTATCAAAGACTGGCCTGAATTCGACGGTAAAGATGAATATGATCACATCAGTTTTATTAAGTACATAGATTATCTATTGAGAACTTATAATGCCCCAGATGATACAATTACTTCCAAGCTCCCTAGAATAATGACAGGAATAGCAAGAGATTGGTTTGTTACCAAGAGCCAATCTGTAGGACTACAAAGTTGGGCAACCTGGAAAGAATTAATCATTGCCAGATTTAGTACTAGAGTATGGAAAACCGCCAAAAGAATAGCGTTTGAGAGTGATTATTTTGATCCTATTAAACATTCTGTAGGAGAATGGTGCCTGCTCCAAAAGAAAAGGATTGAATGTATTTACTCTAACCCCACAGCTGAGGAAATCAATGACAGATTATTAACTCAGTGCAAAGGAACCATAGAACACTTAGTCAGATGTAGACTGAAAGATATGGATGTTGATCTAACAGAGTTTGTAGGAGTATTAGAGGAAGTGGTGATTATGAATGGCTTAAATAAAAAATATGTCAGAAGTAATATACCTGAAAAAAGAGAATTCATCAAGCCAGACAACGTCAAAGAAAAAGCTCCCGCAGCTGAAGCCCCCGTAAGAAAAGCTAGCATACCTGAGTGTTATAATTGTGGAGAAAAGGGCCACAAAAGACCTGAGTGCCCCAATCCCCGCAAAAAGATTAACAATGTAGAGGTATATGAGGAAACTGACGGTGAATATGACTCTGGATCACAATTTGACGTCATAACCACTGAACCAGGAGAAGAGGAGTCTCATAGAATTGTGGTAATCCAAGCTGATATTGGTGATGAATTACATATCAATACTATACAAGGAGACTCTAATTTACCACAGAAATGGGATTCTTCCATGAAAATTGGTCATGTTTCTGATGCTAAATTACTTACCAATAAACCAGAAAAAGGGATGAGTTACACTCTAGGAAAAACTAGTTACACCTCTGTTTTATTTGAGGAAAAATCAATAAAAGCCTTATTGGATATTGGAGCTTTTTGCTCATGTACTAGTAGCAGCTTCTTAGATGAAATTCATCCGGAGTGGAAAGACAATCTGCTGCCTGTCCCTAAAGCTAAATTTAGTAGCTGCAACTCCTCAATGAAACCTTTAGGAATTGTAGTAATGCCTTTAATTTTCCCCCATTCCAAAGGATCTTTAAGACTGTCCATAGAATTTGTAGTTCTCCAAGATGCCATTTGTGATTATTTGATCCTAGGAAACGACACTTTTTGCATGTATGGAATTGACATATTTCAAAGTAAAAACAGATTCTATACTATTGGTGGAGATTGGAAAAGGAAGTTCCAAATTTGCAATGTGAATATCAAACTCCCTGATGTACCAGATGAAATGACGGAAGAAATGATGTCCTTCAAAGCTGAATATCTTTCTCAAGCAGCTGTTAGTGATATTTTGGATGAGCAACAGAAATTAGACGTACTTAAAACTTGCTTCATAAATAAAGAATCCTTTTGTACTACTGAAGAACCCATTGGTAACATAAAAGGTCATGACATGAAATTGGAATTAACTGTTAAAGAACCTTATCCTCCTATCTTGAGAAGACCCCCTTATCCTTCCAGTCCTAAATCCAGAGAAGCTTTAGAAACACACATTAAAGAGTTAATGGAATTAGGTGTGCTGAGGAAAGTGGGACATAATGAGCAAGTAGAAATCACTACCCCAGTAATTATTGCTTGGCATAATGAAAAGTCAAGAATGGTTGGGGATTTCAGAGCTCTGAATAATTACACTAGACCTGATTATTACCCCATTCCACGTATTGATCACTCCTTACATAATTTATCCAAAGCTAAATACATCACCACTATGGATGTTCTTAAAGGTTTCCATCAGATACCCATTGACCCAGATAGCAGACAATTTTTGAGAATAATTTGTCACTTGGGGATATATGAATATTTGAGAATGCCCTTTGGGATTAAAAATGCCCCTTCTCATTTTCAAAGAATGATGGACTCAATTTTTGGCGCATTTATCAGACAAGACTGGATGATGGTCTACATAGATGATATAATTATATATTCAAATGATTGGGAAACCCACTTAGAGAAAATTAATCTAGTGCTGAGTACCGCCATCAAAACTGGTTTGAAAATGTCCATTGAAAAGTGCAACTTTGGCTATGGAGAACTCAAAGCTCTGGGTAGGATAGTATCTGGCCTAACTTTAGCTGTAGATCAAAATAAAGTTGCTGCTGTAATGAACAAAACCCTGCCTCATAACTTGAAAGAAATGATGTCATTCTTAGGCTTTTGTAGTTACTACAGGCAACACATCCCTCAATTTGCCATAGTAAGTAAGAGTTTATACGCACTATGTAAGGATGACACCATTTTTGAGATGACTTGGGAAAGAGTAAAAAATTATGAGGAATTAAAAAGATTACTCACTTCTGCACCAGTCCTAGCACAACCAGATTATGACAAGCCATTTATACTTTATATTGATGCTTGTTTAGATGGGCTTGGAGCAGCCCTTCATCAAGAATTTATTGTAGAAGACAAGCCCATGGAAAAACCAGTTCTCTTCATATCCAGACAAATTAAAGAATCTGAGAGGAAATATGGAGCCAGCCAAATGGAATGCTTAGCTTTAGTATGGGCTCTGGACAAATTACATTACTACTTAGAAGGTTCTAACTTTGTAGTTATCACTGATTGTACTGCAGTTAAAACTCTAATGAATATG